GGGGATAGCGAGGAACGGTAAAACGTGACCAAACATTTATACTCGCTTGCCGCACAAAATCCCGATAACCTCTTCCCCCCATATTGACTCATTTCGAGTAGTTTGACCCCATTTAGCTAGCTATCATCAGATTTAAATGATATGAGACAAATCCATATTAATTCACTATTACCCCCAAGCTTATTGAGCCAAACTGCATTTCACAAACTTCTACCGAGCCACCGCACTATAAGACTCCTTCCAGAGATAATGTTAAGTAGAGCAGTATGTCTTTACGAAATGTGTCAACACCCAGAATGGGATTTGGAGGCTTGAAGTGCGTGTATTTGAGTACTTTGCTGTATCACTAATTGAAATATTTGAATGTTCCATAGCCGGGAATACAGGAGATATGAGTCCTTCGAATTCTTTAGTTAAATAATGATGAGTATGACAAGTTCAAATATCCGATAACAAAACTCTACTTACAGCCAGAAACTTGAAAAGATATCAATAATCAAAATTGACAGTGATATATGCAATCAAAAACTCTCCCTCTTTCCCTCTTTCCCTCTTAACAACGCCTATGTGCTCCCAATTAAACTCTACTCATATATCATAACGAATACAGTTACCGAAAATTCTTATATATATTATACGCAAAAGACGAAAATAATATATCCAGAAACACATATTTAATACACCAATAGATAGATCTAGAATAACTAAAAACGCCTGAAACAAGAAGCGGCTAGTCATATAATCCACCCACTCCACAACCATCATCATTCTTCTTCTTACCTCACCTCACTCCTCAAAAAGAGCTTCAAATCTAATCTTCCATCTACATCTCATCTCCATCTCATATCCACCAACTTCCCTCTCCCCTCTCCCAACACAAACACATAGATAAAATCCCATACAGTAATTATCCCTATCTTTTCAATCTTTCCCTTTCCTATAACGGTTATTTGCTTATCAAAGCTTGAAATATATTATGTCATACTCGTATTATTTTCAGAAGTTAAATAGATGCGCATACCGGTACTGTATTTATCATCCACTTCTCATGATTATAAAATAATAATAGATACTTGTTCAAGAATAAGAACAAGAATAAGAACAAGAAATCCCAAAAATAATCTTACCTATTCAATCTCTTCTCAACCACATCCTAGGTATTTTCTTGCTTTTTCGAACCTCTGATTCCAACGAGTTTATATACTCATTATATAATTTCTATTCGAGTATTCGAATATTATCTATTATCTCTTAGGCTTAGAATTATATACTCGAGTAAAGTATGAAAGCTTGGATTGGTTGTTATGTATTCCTACACGAGTATATATACCAAATATCAAATATCAAATCTCAATATTCAATTCAATTCATTACAGCGGTATATAATAAAGATGGAAGAAAAGAGGAGAGGAGAGAGGTAAGGCGAGGCGAAGTTTGGTTTCTATATAAGGTTTACTTTGAGAAAGTAGAAAGGAGAAAGATGAGGAGTGGTAGTGTGGGTATTGTGAGATTGTATATTGGTGACGGATGAGTATTTGATAATGATGTGTACTTGATAATGATGTGTACTTGATGATAGTGTACTCGGTATATTGAGTGAGTGTGAGAGTAGTGAGTGGCGGGATGAAATTGTGAAAGGATGGAAATGGAAATGAGGATAAGAATGATAATAACAACAAAATGACAATTTTTCTTAGTAGTAATATGACTATCTAAGATTATAGCAGAGAGCTGTAAACCTACCAATTTTGAATTTCCATTTCCATTTCCATTTCCATATCCATCAGAAGCATGATATTCTATCTACCCGATCAATGTATGATCTAGATATCATATCTTGGGTGAATACTTACCTTACTTTTAACATGACATGATAACCCAGCACAGCCTTTCGTATCCAATCCTTCTCAAACTCATATTCGTCAAGCATTGCGATTTTTATAGTAGAAACTGAAAGAGAAATATTTTTGGAAAGAGCTTCCACTTCCAGCTCATCACATATATGGACCCCCCCCCATCTCACCCTCACCCACACCTTCACTACCGCTCCACCCCCCTCAAAC